AATATTGTGGTTTACTTGAATAGCCAATTGGTCAGCATCACAGAATGTGTGTATATGTATATTTGTAGCTATTATTTTTTGAGAACAACATTCTGTCATTTTAAAGGATATAAGTATATATTATTTTAGATCCTAATCGTTGATTTCCGTCCATCAACGGTTATAATTTATTGGATCAAAATTATTAATTAATTAATAATAAATTTGGCCCAATAAGTTTGATCAATAGATTATAACCGTTGATGGACGAAAATCAACGGTTAGAATCTAAAATAATATAAGTTTATATCTTTTAAAAGGAGAGATGTTTTTCCCTTATTTTTTTTGGTAATCTGTATAATTGTCTATTTACATGTTGCATTACTATTCTTGCCGTTTATGAAAATTGAAACCAAAATCTCATTCAAACATGATTTTATGTGAAATTTAGTTTTTTGTTTGTTTCATTCCAAAATCAAATTTGAATTTAGTTTTCTTTTGGAACAAAAGCATTCTATACTTGTTTTGTTTTTGCGTTCAACATTAATATTTATGTTAAAATCACTATCTGATAAAAAAAAATTAAATACAAATCAATTAAAGTGAATTATATTATAAAATAAAGATCATCTAAAATTAATTTCATAACGTCACCCAAAAACATACTAAACCAACAAAAAAAACAATACAATACAACCGCAGGATTCAGTACTTAATTCTTGTCAAGACTTGGTCCATATATCTAAAAAAATAACTGTCCAGAGGTGTGTTGGTAAACCAAGGACAATTTCAGGGCTTCTACAGTTTATTAGTAGAAATCTTTGGCACGATTTATTTATTGATTTAGCCACTTTTTTTGACATGTCAATATCCGTCTACCTGATCGACTTGCGCCCAACCCATATTAGAAAGTAGACCAATAATCAGTTTTCAGTTTGGGAGAAAACTTAAATAAAGTTATTCAAGTGTTTGATGTGTCTGTATTTTAATTATATATAGTATTTCTTTTATTATAGAAAGATAATAATCTCAAAATAATTTCTTTTGGGTTGGGGAAAAAAATAAAGGACTTACAACATGAATTAAGAGAAAAACACTATGTAATTTTTCTCTTAAACCGAAATCAATGTGTTATATGAGATAATTTTATTTTTTATAATAGGAGAAACACTAAATCCATATATATATATATATATATATATATGGGACAAGTTATATTTACAAATTTTTTTGTTTACAAACTACACTATTTTCTCCCGGGAGAAGATAGTGTAATTTGTAAAAAATTATCAAAAAATTTTGTAAACGGAACATTTCCCTATATATATATATATATATATATATATATATATATATATATATATATATATATAAGTCTAACAAATATCACTTTCATTATTAATTAGTCGATTGATCTCACTTGTATCTAATTACCCATATTATTAATAAATTAAATACAAGTGAGATTAACAAGTAATAATGAATGTTTTACTTAATTGTATCAATATAAGACTATAAATTAATCTCTCATTATATATATAAACTTTACAACAAAATAAGGTTGCTAAAAAATACTACGTCTATTATAATTTTTAGTATAAAATATCTTCTTATCACCTAAAATATTTTACGTAATTTTTTTTTTCCCTGAGCTTTGATGATAGTTTGTAAATGCCTCCCAATCCTGCAGCAAGATGAGAAAATCAGACCACGTTGAAATTATTTGAAATTCTTATGTCTTAATTCTTTTTTTTCTCTAAGTTCAATGCTTGACCTTTGAAGTAAAGGGTTTTTTTTATTATTATTATTTTTTCTGGTAGGGACAGGGTTTTCTTTTTGACTCTCTCCAAAGGGCTTTTTTTTCCGGCTTTGTTCCTTTCTCCACCATTTTCATCCCGGAGCCATCGCCATCAGAGATGCCGGTATAATGCAACTGAAACGTTATGAAACTTTATTGCTTGAATGGTTTAGAATTTTGATGACATACAAAAAGAAATATTTATCAAAAAGAAACATTAAAATATTCAAACAAAATATTGATTAAATAATAAGGTAATTATATATGCAGATAAAATATTCTTCTAAATTTGCAGGCACTTTTATAAACTATCCTTGAAGGCTTATTAGACCATCTTAAGTTTTTAATAATTATCAGTTCACTCTGTAAAATAAATCGTAATCGGATTCATTGTAATTTAATTGACTTATTTAAGATATATAAATAGGATGTGATAATTGGGTTTTTGACCCTTTTGCCCCTAATTAAATAATTAATAACCAATTTGCCCCTCCCCCGGAACTATCCACCATCCTGCCCCCATTTAGTCGATTATGTTGCACTTTTAATCGACTAAATGGGCTAAACTCAGAAATTATGAAACGCGAATTTTAGTCGACTAAAAACTCATCTTAATCGACTAAATTGTTTGCACTTTTAGTCGACTAAGCACATTATTTAATCGACTAAAGATCGCGAAAAACCCTATATCCAGACCTCTCTTGGTCTCATTTTCATTATATTCGAATGTAAAACTCCTCCCTTGGTCTCTTTCTCTTGTTTGTCAGCTGTGAACCTTCCAATCACCATTCCATTTCATCACACCACCTCTAAGGCATAGTAATTGTGAAATCATTGTCATTTTCCTTTATTTCTCAATTTTTTCCCCCAAATCCGAACCCAAAACCCTAAAATCTGATTCCTACCCCCAAAATTCGTGTGAAAGATGAGCTCAAGTCCAAACATGTATGTTACCATGATTTACTATGATGGAAAGCATTATGAAGGCCCCAACGGTGTTCAATTTGAAGGAAAAATGAAAATGTTGAAAATCAAACGGGGCACTACGTACAATGAGTTGAAGGGGAGTAACCAAAAATTGGGGCTACACGGGAGCCATGGCGTTCAACGGATGATCGCCAGGGTAGAGTCTACAGTTGGTAAGGATGCTATATTCTACATTGGTAATGATATATGTGACGATGAAGATGTGGATTGTGTCATAGAAACCCTAACCCTCAACCCTAACCCTAACCCTAACCCTAACCCTAACCCTACACCCTAAAACAAAACACAAAAACCCATTCCTAACCCTAAACACTACAACCCAACCAAAACAGCAACGTAAACCCTAACCCTAACCCTAACCCTAACCCTAACATAACCCTAACCCTACGCCTAAGGCACCACATCAACCCTAACCCTCACAACACACTTAGCACCCTACCCCTAACCTAAATCCACAAAACCGCAAACATAAATCAAATGCATGAAGAAAACCAAAATAAAAACTAAACTTAAAACCAAATGCAAGTCAGAATACGTTACCTAAATGTCGATTTCGCAAGTGTGAACCAAGGAAGCTTCAATCGCACCTTCAAGGGTTGAGATTCGGACTTGGTTGGAGAGAGGGGACGGAATGCAGCCTTTTAGTCGATTAGGGTTTGAAAATAACCCCCTTTGCGAAATGGGGTTTTTTTAAAAAACCTGGTCTGCGACATTTAGTCGACTAAATAATGTGCTTAGTCGACTAAAAGTGCAAACAATTTAGTCGATTAAGATAAGTTTTTAGTCGACTAAAATTCGCGTTTCATAATTTCTGAGTTTAGCCCATTTAGTCGATTAAAAGTGCAACATAATCGACTAAATTGGGGCAGGATGATGGATAGTTCTGGGGGAGGGGCAAATTGGTTATTAATTATTTAATTAGAGGCAAAAGGGTCAAAAACCCTGTGATAATTGATTGCTTTAATAAAAAAAAAAGGCCAAATTAAAGAGTCGTCTAAGGTTAATAATGGCATACCAATTATCATTGTATACATTTATAGATAAGATAATATTATAATGAAAGAAAAGAAAAGTGTTGGGTTACAAGTTTTACAAGAAAATCATAAGCTAGGATCCTTCCACCCTATTTTCTTGCCAAATCTAGAGCTTGCTGGAGATGATGATCTTGTGTTTTGAGCGTCACCTCCCCCCTTTTATTTTGGTCAAGAAGTAACCTCCCCCTGAAACAAATCACTTACTGCTGGCGGATTCTATGGGCCTTTTTTACTTTTTGTATATTATTTTTTAAGACCACACCACACGTTAATTTTTCACATTTTAATTAGCACTAATTTTTTTTGGAAACTTTAGCACTAATTTCTCCTCGGAGCCAATCCCATAATTTTTACCCTATGACTGTTTCCAAATTCGAACCATGCACGGTACCTAAACTTCGTTCACTTGAAATTTGGTATACCGACACTTTCTTTTTTAGTAGCTAGTTTTGTTTTTTTTTCTTTCAGCTTTATGTTGATATAAAAAAATAAAAATAACAAAACCATAAGCTCCGTTGGAAATTTATGATTCTGTCGTATATATGTTATACAGATTTTTTATAGACTTACAATATAATATAAATTATCTACTTTTTTTTAACTTCAATTAATATATTTTTACAAATATTCGTGAGACTAATTCTACCAGCACAGTTACAAACCAACATATTATGATTTTAAAAGTAAAATAATTATTTAAAACATAGATTCATGCAACTAATTAACATTAAATAATAATACCTCAATATATATATAGTTGTCTCAATATACCAAGGTACGTTACGGCTAACAAGTCGTTAAGGAATTCAAAGAATCTGACTGGTCAACGCGGTCTTTTAAATAGAGACACATTAAAATAATGTGAATAATGTAAAAGAAAACTAGGAGTCAAGCATATACTTTTATGTGTATTCTTTTCCTCTGTCTAGAAAATGAAAATTAAAAAAAAAAAAAAAAAAAGCCTTGAGCACAATTCAAAGTCTGTTTCCTTGTAATTTATGCAGAGAAAATTCAGAAAGCAGGAACGATTCTCCCCTTCTTACCTTCCCCCAACAATGTGTATAAAAACCAGAACTTGGTCTTCAACCCTCCTCACCAAACATAAAAAACAAGACCAAAAGAAACACCATATATACCAAATTTTCTCTCTTTGCATTTCTTGCTGTCTTTAATATCAACAACATATAATACACACTTGCATCATGGTTTTCCCAAAACCACCTTCTGAGTCTGATCTCTTTCTTCACTCTAACTTTGCTTCTCGTTATGCCAGGGACTCTCTTCCTAGGTATATATATATATATATATATATTTTTTTTGCTTTCCTTATCATCATCACCTTCTTTATTATTATTGTTTCATTTTTTTTATGTTCATTGGATATCATAATCTTTGACCTCAATTCTTTATTGGTTTTCTTTCTGAGGAAGTAATGAATGAAGCCTTGTTGGTGATGCAGGTTCAGCATGCCAGAGAACTCTATGCCTAAGGAGGCAGCGTACCAGAACATACACGATGAGCTTCAGCTTGATGCGAATCCAAAGCTGAACTTGGCTTCCTTTGTCACCACATCCATGGAGGAAGAATGCAACAAGCTCATCATGGAATCCATCAACAAGAACTACGTTGACATGGATGAGTATCCTGTCACCACTGATCTTCACGTACTTTCTCTCTTTCTGATATCTTCTTCTCATGGCTATAACACTTTACCTATCATCTTAAATTCATATAGTATAGCATACCATTTATACAATTTATGTAATTTATAACTTGTTATTTTATTTTATTTTTGGAGGCTATTTCTCTCTTCTTATTGGAAAAGCTAGGACCCCAAAAAAGAAGAAGAATTTTGCTTTTTTGAATTTTTATATATTTTGGAAAATGAAAGTGCTATTATTTTTGGTGTTTGACTTTGACCCTCACTTTTTTCTTTTTTCCTGGTGTTGTACTTTTTATTTGCAAAACAGAACCGGTGCGTGAACATGATAGCACGTTTGTTCCATGCTGAAATTGGAGAAAACGAGAGTGCAATTGGAGCAGGAACTGTTGGATCATCTGAGGCCATAATGCTGGCAGGCCTTGCATTCAAGAAGAAGTGGCAGAACAAGCGCATGGCTGAGGGCAAGCCCTATGATAAGCCCAACATGGTCACTGGTGCTAATGTCCAGGTATATTTATATTTCTATTTCCCATTGTTATAAACTTTAGCACACCCCTAACATAAAAGATATAGAATTATGAGCTATTTATTACTAATATGGCATTTTACACAATCTATGTTATATAGGTATGTTGGGAGAAATTTGCGAGGTATTTTGAGGTGGAATTGAGGGAAGTGAAGGTTAGTGAAGGCTACTACGTGATGGACCCTGCCAAAGCCGTGGAGCTAGTTGATGAGAACACTATTTGTGTGGCTGCAATCTTGGGTTCAACTTATAATGGAGAATTCGAAGATGTCAAGCTCTTAAATGACCTGCTCCTAGAAAAAAACAAGCAAACTGGGTAAACAATAATATACCACTAATTAGCTCCCATGACCAATTCAAATATCTGCACTCAACTTTCCTTTATACCCTTTAGGCCTATACTGATTTGTTTTTCTTATCACATTATAGGTGGGATACGCCTATTCATGTTGATGCTGCTAGTGGTGGCTTTATTGCTCCTTTTCTTTATCCAGAGCTAGAATGGGATTTCAGACTCCCATTGGTGAAGAGCATAAATGTTAGTGGTCACAAGTATGGGCTTGTTTATGCTGGAATTGGTTGGGTTATATGGAGGACCAAGGAGGATTTGCCAGAAGACCTTGTCTTCCATATTAATTACCTTGGAGCTGACCAACCCACCTTCACCCTGAATTTCTCTAAAGGTGATTAATTAATAACTATATATATTTCTTGATCCTTGATTATTGCTTATACCATATAGTTAGCTTATCCTATAGCCTCCTAAAATTGACTTGCCACTTGCAGGTTCTAGTCAGATCATTGCTCAATATTATCAGCTAATTCGCCTTGGCCATGAGGTGAGCCTATAGTTAAATTCTTCTGATTCATTACCACAATATATACAACAAATAACAATCAACCTTCAATCACAAATATATATATCTAATCACATTTTACCATAAAATAGTCACTATCCATGATAAGTGAAAATCTGTTGATCATATCAAAATTTGCAAGAACCTGCTCAACAATTTTTTTTCTAAGAATTAACATTTGGTAAACTAAACATCAATATGTATCTCATGTTATATCCTTTCATTACTAGGGATACCGGAGTATAATGGAGGACTGCAGAGAAAATGCCATGGTTCTGAAGGAAAGCTTGGAGAAAACAGGATGCTTTAACATTCTGTCAAAAGACAATGGTGTTCCTGTGGTGGCATTTTCTCTAAAGGACAGAAGCTATTACAATGAGTTCAAGATATCAGAGATGTTGCGCCGCCATGGTTGGATTGTGCCAGCTTATCCAATGCCACCTGCTGCACAACACATCAATGTGCTCCGTGTGGTGATCAGAGCTGAATTTTCACGCACACTTGCTGAACGCCTTGTGTTTGACATCAAAAATGTGCTGCACGAGCTTGAAAAACTTCACCCCAAAAACACTGCCAAAGTGAACAACAACAACATTAAGGAAGAGACTGCCATGATTGACAATGGTGTCAAGAAGACTGCATTGGATGCACACAGGGAAATCATTGCTCAAGAATCCAACAAGCGTCAGAAAATCATGGCTGCCTAGAGAGGGTTATACATGATACCTTACTATGCCAACTAAATAAAGAGCCTTGAGCCCTTGACTTGTTCTAACTCCATCTATAATCGAGCCTTGACTATATTTACTTTTATTTTTCGAAAATTTTGTGCAAATCATTTAGATTATTTCATTTTTTGTTCGTGTTCCTAGCTAGATTTTGATGTCAGTTAAGATGACTAATTTACAATAATGTATTACATTTTTTAATGTTCCTCAACGGTTATTTTATTTTATTACGAGAGTTTGGTTGTTGTTATTATTATTTATATCTTAAAATGTATCTATATATGTCAATTATTAATTTAAGTGTTACTCTGAAAATAATATTCTCATTGGTTTATATTCAATTTGGAATTTATTAAATAATGTTATATATATATATATATATATATATATATATATATATATATATATATGGGGAAAGTTATACTTACAACCTATTTTCGTTTACAACTTCTTACAACTGTATTTTAATCGTTGATTTCCGTCAATCAACAGTTAAGATTTTCACAAATTAAATTTATTAATTAATTATTAATTCATAATAAATGACAATCATTGATTGGCGGAAATCAACTGTCAAGATATGGTTGTAAGAATTTGTAAACTATTTAGGTGGTAAATATAATCCTCCCTATATATATAGATATATAAAATTATCAAAATACCATTATATACTCTCTTTGAATTTCCTGTCAATTAATAAATACAGATAAAAGATGTACATATATGCTATAATCCTATATTGCTCCTTGTTTATTGAGATTCAAATTACATTTACGTCCTTTTATCTCCCTCCTTAAGGTAGAGGCACAAAAACAAGAATGTGGGATAAAATAATATTTAAATGCAACAGTTTTAAAATAAAGGATTTAATATTTTTACTCTTACTATAAAAATTCTTTTCCTATAATACTCTCATAAAAATGTGTGAATTTTATTAATTTTTGTTTTAGTGGGTTCTACTTATTTTTATGTGAACGTTATAAAAAATATTTGTACAAATATTTTTCTATAAAATAAATTATCAAAATAGCACGTTAATTAACTCCACTAGCAAAATCATTTTTTCGCCACATGGCCCAGTTCAGGGCACAGCAATATTGGTCCGACGTTTCAACCTATATATATAGGGATATATTTTTCTTATGTTGTAGGAAAGGAATTACCTCATGTTGTAGAAATAAAAGTATAAGTGGGACCCACATGTAAGAGGAGAGAGAAAAAAAAAAGTGGTGGGACCCAACCCTTTTTGTGTGTAGGAGAGATGTTTATCTCATGTAAAATGAGATAAACATAACCCATATATATAAATCCTTTTCTTTTAAGTTCGGAAAAAATTTAAGGTACACATATCGTGCTGAACAGTAGTATATTTTTAGGGAAATATAAGAATTATGTTGCAGGAATGACACTGTTCATTCCTGCAACAAGGATACGGCGTCATATCCTGATTTTGGTTTGACTTTTTCTTTTTAAGCGTGGGACCCACACTTGATTTGTGTGTGTAGAAAAGTGCTCTTGTCATGTCAAATGACAAAAAGAGAACCCATATTTTTATTACAAAATATAAGCAAGTCCTGGGATCATAAATGTTTGTACAGAATCATATCTTGAAAAAGTGTTTATTTTATTAAATGATATAATTTATATTTTTTCACTCTCACAAAAAGATGGGATGCAGACCTTTATTTTTTTTATCAACTCTCTCTCTTCCTTTATCTATCTCTTTCTCTCTCTTAAAATGACACAACTTTATATCCTTTAAAATGACACACACTTTACCCAATTAATTGTCATCACACTGAAATTATGTGTGAAAGTTGCACCAAAATATTTGTTCCTAAGTACGAGTCCTACTAGCTCAGTTTGTAGAACTCCTCGTACAAATAGAACTAGCTATATTATTTTACTCAAAACGTGGCGTTTTGATTTTGGTCCACAAAATAAAGGGAGAAGAAAAGATATACCGATAAATATGAATAATATTTTGAAGAAAGAGAAATAAAATATGTTATTCAAGCTCTTAATTTCTAAATTCATAGATAGAATTAGGCAAACTTTATCTTTGATAAGAGAATTATGGAGATGGAGCCCTAAAATTTAAAATTATTATAAAATATTTAAACTGTAACTTAAAATGAGTTTAAGATTAAAAATAAAATATATTTCAATAAAAATCATGATATAAGAATAAAATAAAATTTTAAAATCTTTTATTTCTAATACCAAATTGCAAAACATCGGTGTTTTGGACATACACTCTTCCCAGATTTAAAATACAGAAAAAAGAAAAAATATTTGTCATTTTAAATAATATAAGATTATGTCATTTGAAAAAAGAGACAGACGCATAAAAAATTTTCATTTAAATTTTAAATTAAAAAAATTACTCACTTTTTTTCTCTAATAATTTCTATTGTTCTGTGTCTATTTCTCTCCGAAAATAACATAAATTATCTCATTTTAAATAACAAACTGAACCAAAAAAAACACTAAAATAACGAAGGGCTTGAGATTGTTCCCTCCGTAAACAGAGACGGCGAGATGACAGAGGAGAGAGGGGCAGTGGAGCTGGATCGTGCATCGCGAGCGACGAGGGGCAAAAGGCTAACGAAACTCCTCGACGAAGAACTCCAAGAGGACGATTTGTTCTGGAGCCAAGATGCTCTCAAAGACGAAGAGAACGATGATAACTATCAAGAGGAGCCTGAGATCGCCGATGATTTCGACTCCGACTTCGATGAAGATGTATGTATCTTACTCTCTCTCTCTCTCTCTCTCTCATTATTATAAACACTTCCTCTAATCCACACTTCTCAGGAGCCTCAACCTGACGAAGAACCTCAAAACGACGACGCCGATGAAAGGATACCTAAAAAGAAGCGCCTAATATTTCCTGGGAAGACGCTAGCCAAGAAGAAGAAAAAGAAGAAGGTCTTATCTAAATTGGAAAATTCTCCCAATGATGATGATGATAAACCCGTTGCTGAGGAACACCATCACGATGATGCTGGCGAGAGAATGGTCAGGAAGTCCACAAGGACTTCCGTTATTGTTCGCCAAGCCGAGAGAGATGCCATGCGTGCAGCACTCCAAGCAACCATCAAGGTCCCCCCACTACTCTACTCTGTTTCTTAGTGGTTGTATTTGTGTTTTGTGTATTTGATAATTTGCTCAACCTTAGTAATGGTGTTACTATTGACATTTCTTTAAGTTATATGGGATGTCATGTAACTATGATAAAATATGTTCAATGGTTTGGTGTTTATATAATACAAGTTTCTAGTACTATAACTACCATGAAGGGAGCTTTGGCACAATGGTTGGTGTTGTTGCCATGTGACCTAGAGGTCTGAATTATGTAATCAGCATCTTACACGAAAGGCTGCCTATTATAGACCTACACAATGAGTTGGATCCTTCCCTGGACGTGTGCATAGTGACAACTTTATAGCACTAGGTTGCCTTTTTATAACTACCTGGCCTGTAACCTTGGTCACTGAGTTTCATTATTCATCTTACCGATTTGGTGATCCTGGTTTGGAAATGATCTTTACTTTTTCCCCCCAGCCAGTCAAAAGGAAAAAAGAAGGTGAGGAGAAGAAAATGACCCAGGAGGAGATGCTTTTAGAAGCTGCTCAAACAGGTCGAGATTATATCATTTAACATCTACCGATGATTACTTTGTTTGCTAGCTTGAATTGAACTTCTAAAGGTCCTTCACAATTTCAATTTTAATTTTGATTTTGCAGAAATTATGAACTTGCGAAATTTGGAGCGTGTTTTAGCTAGAGAGGAAGAAGTTAAGAGAAGAGCTATTGTGCATAAAACTGTCTATAATGGTCCACAAATACGATACATTTCACAAAATGGTTAGAGTTTTGAATGCATAATGATACTGTCTTTTTGGACACTACAACATTTTACATGCTTTTGATTTGGTAAATATTGGTTGTTGTCATTTTACATATAGCAATCTGTTAATTTTTCCAGGTTGTTCGTATTTAGAGTTCACTAAAGGGTCATCATTTCACTCAAAAATTGCCACAACGTCTGTACAATGTAAGTCCGTCTTATGCTGCCACTATTAGTGTAAAGGAGATTGACAATTTGGTTCATTTTTATGTTGAAAAATATTATATAATCTGTTTCTTTATCCATAAATTTTATAATTTGTGTAATTTAATTCCGAGAGAAACTGCTATAGCATTTCTTTCCACGCAACATTTCTTTGGCCTGTTAGTTGATTTTTTCTTAATTTAATTTAATTTAATTAATTACAACATATGGCTTGCACCATGGTTTGAATTTGAACCTGTACCTTTCATTGTTGTAATGGACAAACTCATAATACTCATTGAACATATTCGAGATGAAGGGCCTTGGTGAATGCTTTTTGGTGGATTAGACTAATGATATAGTAAAACAGAGGGCGGATATAGTAAATGCTAAGTTGAAGTTGCGCAGAAATGCTTTGGAGACCAAGGGATTTCATTTGAGTAGCTCAAAGACAAAATATGTGGAATTTAATTTTGATAGGGAAAGGAGAGTTGATGATAGTGTACTATGAATTCAAGATGAAGAAGTACCCACAACCGAATGTTTTAGATAATTAGGTTCTATCTTATACAAAGATAGAGGGATTAATAGCAATGTCACACATGGTATCCGCACAGGACGGATGAAATAGAGCAAGGTTGTCAAACTCATGAGTCTACATAAACTAATAGAGTGTCCATAAACTTACTCGGGTCCCCTTCGTTTTGGCAGGTAGTTTAGGGCAATTTGGGGCAGACATTAGATTAGATCCACTTTTAGACTTGTCCACTTGCAGCTAGACTCGTATTTTTTGCTGAGTTTGACTGATTCTGCTTGTGTCCACCCGAGTCTATGAAGAAACAAGTTTGTAAGTGTTACGGATGTGGCTAGGGGGGATAATTCAAGTGAGCCTAAAGCATGGAAAGTGTTTCGAAGGAGACAAAAAGAGTTAGTTAGGAAAAAGTCAAAGTGTAATTAGTAATAGTCTGTGTTTTTATGTGTGTATAAAAACAGAGGAAGTTGTCTTTTGTGGTCATTCAATTGTAAAACTTCTGATTGACCACTGAGAGTGCTCAGTAGGTGTGAAGGGGTGTTCCCCTTGAAAGTGTCTGAACCTTGTAAACTCTTTGACCTATATTAATAGAAATCCTAGTGTTTTCTTGGTATTCTTCTTGCCTCCTGTTCTGTGATTTGGTTTGCAATCTTTCTTGGTCGGTAACAGTAAGCGAGTTAACTTGATTTCCCTTCCTAGAATTATAAACTCGTATGATTCTATGAATTAACTTTTGCAAGTTTGACAATCATGAAGAAGATAAATGCTTTAGGTGTTTGCTTGACCTTCAAATGCCTTACACGGAAAAGAAGGCTTTACCAAACTGTAGATACCTGCAGTGTTGTATGGATCAGAATACTGGGCGATAAGCTGCAATCATGAGCTAAGATGAAGGTCACAGAAATGAGAATGAATCTATGGCTGAGTGGGCGTACCAAGATGAATAGGAGCTAGTTTGGATGAATTTTTCAAAAAAGGACTTTTTATGATTTGCTTTTTTTAGAATGACCTTTTTTAAAAGTTTGGATGGAATACATAGAAAGTACTTTTAAATAAAAGATTTATTTGAATGTTAAAATTAATAAGCACTTTTTATATATAAAATTACTAAAAAAGGATACGTGAGTGATGGTAATGGGGTGGAGTAGTTGGAGTGGAGTTGGGATAAAATTGAATTTTAAAAAAATTATTTGACTTTTGGATTTTTCTTTTTTCGTAAGTAAGGAATTCTGACTTATAAAAAAAGTTAACACTTTAACTTTTTTTAAAGTTCGTATCCAAACGCATAAAAGAACTTTTTTTTTTTTTTGAAAATGAGCAACTTCTTTCAGAAAAAAGCCCATCCAATCGCACTCTGCGATTAGGAAGGAATTCATAAGGGAGAAAGTTGGAGTGGCTTCTATATAGGATATGATGGGCAACCATTGAAGATGGATGAGGCATTTGAGCAGATTCTCTACAGACCTAAAAAGGCATGATCAGACTTGAGAACTACTAAGAAGTATTACCCAGCTCAATGAATATATAAGTTTCGTGAATATATTATTCATGATTGAGCTCAATGCCGAGCTTTATTCTATATAGCTTGCCCCCCTAGCAGGAATAAGGCTTGGCTGCTGTTGTATTAATGACAACATACCAAGAGTGCCCTGATTCCATAGAAAAAAGGGCCATTTAAGAAGATTGGCTCCAATATAGATATTTGTGTGGTTTTACTTCCTTTACAATCTCAATAATAAAGAACTAAAATATGCTATCTATAAGATCTGAAATATATTGCAGTTAAATTAAAACAAAAAAAACAAAAACCACTCCTCATCCTTGTACATAGCCTTACCTTTGCATATTTGCTAAGAGGTTGTTTTTCGGATTCGAAACTATGACTTTTCAATCACAAAAGAACAGTTTTACCACTACTTCAGTTTGCCCTCAGTTAAATTAAATAAAGCAAAAAGAAAAAGAATTACGTGTGTATGCTTTCTCATTTGTTTGGTTTGACCTTGGACTGTCAAATGAAGAAAAAGCTTCAATTAAGTGTGCGTTTTAACCTTCTGTTCTGATAATCAAGCAAAACATTGCTCAAAATAACATTATTTTACAAGTGTTCTTTTACTTATATGATTTTATTTATATTTCTTTTCAGATCCAGAACAACCTGTTTGCACGATTACTGGTTTGCCTGCCAAGTAAGAACTCATTCACCAATTTGGTGGTTACTGCTTAATTCTTTACCATCCTGGTTGGGATGAGAGAGGCATATGTCTGCAATTTGGAATTGCTTGATAATTGTTTTTTTTTTTCCCTTTTTTGTTCCCTACTATATTTAATGTGCATATGAATGTAGTTTCTGGTTTCCTTTGTTTGTGATTTATCCTCGATAAGACATTTACCTAGACGAAATGATATTATAGATTGAGGATTTGAAAGTCATTTAAAATTTGATGTATATGGGAAATGGCGAAATGCTAATTGAAACCTTGCTTTAGAATTTGTTTTTCTGTGGATAGGGTTGTCCGGTACAAAATGCAGAGCATTTGGCAATAACATGAGTCAGGCATTAACAGTGGGTTTATACCAAAACGAGAAGAAGAAGAAAAAAAGGCATTTGAAGTGGATGCATATCGTGATCATTCATTTAATTTGTATTCGTTGCACAAATCACGGTTGGACCATATAAAGTCAATGTTAGACCATTAGTATGATGCTTCTGATGTTTCTTCTGCCCATGGTTCCTTTAAGGGATATCCTATCCCACTCCTTGGTTGTATTCCTTCTGTTTTCTCTCTCTATTAACAAATTGTCTCATCATATTTTGGAAAAAACATTAGGTGGCCGAATTAATATAGGGATAAATGGGGCCAAGGAGGGGATATCAACCTAGTATCTTTACTAGAGTGGCGAGTGTTATTAGTTGAAGAGTATGAACTAGGATAGATCGAGGTTTGGAGGTTGTTCAAGAGATTCTAGCTCTAGTGTCGACCAAGTGACTAGGTTTTATGAGTTTCTTTTGATTGGAAACCTTAGCTGTTCACTAAGGATAAATACCTGGTGAGACCTTTTGAGGAGAAGATCAGGAGGACTATGCAGGGTGTGGATCAAGATGCTCATATTTCAGATGGTTTCACCATGTTCTTTTATTAGAGGTGTTAGGACATTGTGAAGGGTGATTTTATGTAGGTTTTCTCTGATGATTTCGTCTATTGTTCATTATGATCATGAATAAAAGAACTATGACTCCTTGTACCACAAAAAGAAAAGAACTATGACACCATCTATATTCTTTACTCAGTCCAAGCGTATATTACTTTCTTTGATGTCTGATATTTTACTATAAATTACTTAGTGTCATTTAGTATTAGTAAGCTGTCACTGTTAAGTAATTTTACATCTTTCATCTTAGGGTTTTCTTTTCTAATTTTGCTGTCCTTGGTTCTGAATTGCGTTTGAGCTTGTATTCATGTTATTTAGATTTTATTAGGACTTATGGGTTGTGTGGTGGTGGGAAGTCGAAGTCTTATAGGATTAAGATTTTATTCCTAATCTTTGTAGGATAAGATTTTAAAGTTTGATGATGCTTTCCTTGCATGGAATAATCAGTTTAATGAATTATGTATTAAATTGCTTTCTTCTTGTTTGTTTGTTGTAATCAAACTTTAGGCATGATCCTAGGTTACATGTTTGTTCATCTTCTGAACATCTGGTTGATTTTCTTTTCTGCCCAGACCTGATTTACTGCCCAAACAGCTTCACGCTTTCTTTCTTATTAGAACCCCAGTTGATTCTTGTTTTGATTTTCAAATTGCATCATGCTTAACTCACCCTGGAAAATGTGGACTCTAACCGTTACTGTAGCTGTAATTCATTATCAGTAGATCACTTGAAAGATTTTCCTTAGTCTATTTTGTTAAGAAATTCTCTCTGGGATAATGTAGGTACCGGGATCCAAAGACTGGGCTGCCATATGCTACAAAAGAAGCCTTTAAAATAATTCGACAACGGTATGACTGTTCTTGATTGCAAGTAACCATTCTTTAAATGTATATAGTATTTGTCATATTTTCCCTTTTCAAATAAATTTTTTTAACAGTATATATTTCAATTGGTATTTCTTTTAACAAGTTTACAATTTTACAAAAAGACTTGACTAGAAAAGAAAAATTGTGAATTTTTTTTATATTTTGCTAATCTCTTTTTTTGTTTTCCTGGAATGATTTGGTCTAATATTCCAGATAAAGATGATTGCTGACCAGTCCTACCCGCAGTGAAATATTGTTATTGAAGTTACTTATAATGTCAAAATTATTTTGCTGGAGAGTAGAATACTTTAGCTTGAAAGAAAGTCCAAACCAATAAGCACTGGTGTCATCTTAAGAGGGAATAATATGATTGACAAATTTATGTGCTTTTAGGCAATAGCTTATGCATTTGGGAGAATTGGTTCATGATATGGTGTCAAGGCCTCTATGATCTTGTGGTTTAGTGTTTGATCCTTACTACCCTTATTCTCCTAAATAAATAAAGAAGTTAAATTTCAGCTCAAAATAGGGTGAGGATGTACATTGTCCATGCAACTTTAATTTTTTTGGTATAAACTATTCGGTATTCAATCGCCAACAGCGCCGACTAATCCGGATTCGAGCTTGGCTCCGACCACAAAGAAGGAAAGAACTCTTATTTGAGGATGTGTGTGTTCATATTCATGTGACTAATTTAAGCTTTGGAAGAGTTGGTATATGACAGGGGGTTTTGACTTTATCACGGGTTTAATATATCTCATATATTAAGAGTAAAATTATTTTTTACACATGCATAAAAATGTGTGGGACTCATTTTCTTTTTCTCTCTCTTCTCCTTATATGAGCTCTATATATTTTTATGCTTTTATAGGAGATAATTTTATCTCCGACAACATGAAAAACATTAAATCCTTATTATAAAAATATTATTGTTCATCAAATAATATTAGGACCAGCCTAGCTAACCATAAGATAAAGTGGCAAATCACATGTTATACATTTATTTTAGCATCTGCTTTGAATATCTTGTCGAGAGCAGGTAATGAAGTGATTGTTTCTGAATTGATTTTAATCGATATTAATAGGGGGTTATTTTGCAGCTTTCTGAATGAAAGTGCTAACACTAGAAAGGAAATGAGCATGGGAGGCTTATATGATTCAGTTTCTGGATGTGGTTTTTCGATTAAACGGAAGAGATCGATATTGCCAGAAAAAAATTTACATCCTGATGCTCGGTCCTTTGCTCGCTTTCGTAGAATTCCGGCTTCTGAGGATGAATTTTCTGACTAGCTGCCTTGGTAATTGATATTTTCTTCTCGTCAAGTTTTACATTATTTTTTTTTATTATCCACTCTCAGCTAGTCATATTAAATTGCAAAGGAATTTAATACTAACTAGGGATTTTAATTTCAGTGCCTAATCATAAAAGGCAAGTCATGGTTGTGCTACTTTCATGATCTGGACCTCACGTTGGGATAAATATTAGAAACTGAGTATTTGAGGGCTGTTCCAGGCTTCCAGTGCTTGGAAACAATGTACATGAAGTGAAAATGTTTGGTCTCCTTTCTTGGAGCTTGGTAAAAAAAAATGATCTTGGCCTTTTCTTTTTTCTTTTTTAAAAGAAACTCAACTGCACTTAAGAAAGATACATGATATGTCAAAAGTTTCTTTTACAATTTGTCATTAATGTAACAATATTAAGATGTAATATGATTTATTTATACCATTATCCTATTATATATTATTAAAATAATTTAACTTATTAAATATTTATTATAATAAAAATTTTAACTGACGTGATATATATGATTAAATATAAAAATCTGTTTTTTGTTTTATACAGATAAAATTCAAAATTTAAAAATTTGCTCACTGTCCTCGTATGCCTCTCCTCCGAAGCATCATCATCATTGAGCCATCAAGTCAGGCTTTCTTCCTTACTCTTTCTGAAAAGAAAAGCTCCAGAATTTTTCCTTTCGTCATTAATGAATCAAATCCCAATCTGCAATCTCCTTCCCTTCTCTGTAATTATGGAGTAGTGGAAAGAGAAATTTTTTAATCACAATATCAAAACAAGTGCAGCAACCAGCAAGCATCAAATTAATATCAATTTTAAATTTGAAAAGCAGATTTTTTTTTTAATATTCAATAGATACATTTTTACTAAAAGAAAAAAATTACATTATTTTTATTGTTTCTTATTTTCAAGATTTTGTAAAAATATGTTAATTGAAAATAAAAATATGAAACAAATCAAATACGGCGTAAGTTTTAACGCCAAAAGCTCTTTTTCTAGATATAACAATTAGCATAAAGCCATAAACAGTCTCTTCCTCCGATAGGAAATAGGAGATGAGAGAAAGTTGGCTTGTTCTTCTCAAACTTGGTAAATTTCCACCGTTTTAATGAAACCTACTCCTTCATTAACTTAAAGAGTTTCCACTCCCCCCCAAAAAAAAAAGCCAGATTGATTGACAAATGGCATTAACAGGAATAATGTGTGAAGAATTTCTGAAGGTTGATGATTGATGAGTTTGGAGGAAAAGCTGAACCGCCAGAAAGGCACACAAGTGTTGCATAGATTGAAAAATATTAGTGGGACCACGTAACACATGCAAATGAGTTGCCATTGTCCATAGAATAAATAATAAGCTAAACATATGTATTTTTATTGTTCAAATACACATTGTTAAATAAATATAGGGTTCTATTTTTTTCAAGTTGTAGGAGATAAGTATCTCCTACTATAGATACATAATATGGTGGAGCTCACCATCCATTAAAAAAAGAAAAAAGAAAAAAATGATGTCATAACTTTTTATGTGAGAGAAACGTGAGATAATTATCTCATGTAGAATGAGACAATGATTTCCCATAAATATAATTCAAACCTAGTTTTAATTATTTGTTACTCAGAGCCTGTTTGACTCTCTACAAATCCAGAAGCCAAATGCAACTTCTATGTCCAACATCTCCTTTGATAAGATAGCTAGCGTGTGGGATGTTAAATTCTGGAAGTGCTTGAAGCTCACTTTGACTCCGTCACTATCATGTTGATCTCAACTGCCACAGCTTCCTCATCGTGTACAATGACTTCTGTAGTATTTGAGATGCCAAAAAAAACATTTCACACATCACTAAGCAACAATAAATTCCATCTTATAAAAGGAGTATCAGTGCATGCAAACTAAGACAATATCGGGTGTAATTAAAGGAAATCCTTAAAAAAATAATATTAGAATATAGGTGGTCCATAATATATGTTAACATGGTTCGGGATTTTTGTGTTCACGTTGAAACTTAAAAATTGAGACAGAAAAACCTATATATATTTTTTTTCTGTTCGGGATTTATTTTTTATTTATTAATTTAAAATTATTCATGCATGTCATACGTCTAGCGAAAGAAACATACACTACTTATATTAGCAAGTTAGTGTAGATGATTTTGACACAAATATTTATTAAAATTTGGATAACATCTCGTCAACATGAATTGTCATATCTAGAAAATAATAACGTAATTTTTTATAAAAAATATTAAATAGAAAAATGTAATCTGCCAAAAAGAATATTAAATACTTTTTAATAATTAATAAAAATAATAAATTTTTGTGCTCAATTCCACCGATGTATAAAAAAAAAAGTTGTACCTAGCGGAGGCACATTAGAAAAGAACAAAACTATATGTTCGATTCCTGCTGAATACATTTTTAGGGAGGGGGCTGAACCTTTAGCCATCACTGCTCCCCCGCACTCTGGATTAGTCTCATAGCCGGCTCAAAGAGTCAAAGCTTGTAGGGATATCGGAGGGAGCCAACTCGCCTCAAGGAGGTAATTAAGGTAGGGTAACTAAAAAAAAGAAAAGTTACAAAACTCATGTTACATAAATGAAGCTAGGCACGTGTTTGTGATCGGGAAGTCAATAAAATAGGAAATACTAAATAAGCTATAAGTTAAAAAGATACGTGTTTCCATCGCGTTTGGATTTTAATTTCTCCACTGTCACTAACGACAAACCGCTTATCTCCGGTCACCATTCCATCATTCTCATTCTCTCTCTCTCTCCCTCTCCGTCTCAAATTATTTTGCTCTCGCCGGCCATAAAACTTAAAAACCCAAACAAACAAAAAATTAAAAAAACCAAATAAATAAATAAATAAATTGAATATTCTTAACAAAGCAATAATTACAAACACTTTAGAATTAGATATTGTTTGTTTCTTCATTCTTCAGGAACATTCATTGAACACGCTTCCGTTTCGTGAAGATTCCATCCATGGTGGCCAGAGGCGTGCCGGTGGATGTGATGGCGGCGGTGGCCGGGGCAACCCTTCGCTTCACAGAATCCTCTAACTGGTGGCGGGATATCAACAACTCTCCGGTCTGGCAGGATCTCATCTTCCACGTCCTCGCCGCCCTCTACGGAATCGTAGCCGCCATCGCTTTGGTATTCTATCTAACGATTTCAACGTCTTTCTCTGTTTGCCTGCGTGATTTCAACGCTCCGCTCTTCTTTCTCTGTAAAATTTGAGATTCGAGCTCGGTTAGGGTTTTCTTTTAATGACATTGTTTATTTGTTTTTAAAATTATTTTAGGTTCAACTAGTTCGAATACAATTGAGAGTGCCGGAATATGGTTGGACCACGCAGAAGGTCTTTCACTTTCTCAATTTTTTGGTGAATGGGGGTTTGTATCATTCAATCTTCTTTTTCTTTAATTTTTGAATCTATTTTGTATTTGTTTGATAATTGTTTATACGGCTTTAGCATTTTTATTGAGTAATGCTTGCTCTTTGTGGTTTTGCAGTTCGATGTTTTGTTTTCATCTTCCGTCGAAATGTGCAGAAGTTACAGCCAGAGGTAGGAATGGATTTTTTTTTAGCTGTTTTCCAATTCCATAATAAAATACCTTTTATAATCACATAGCATCTAATGGTTAGACTTCCTGTGTGTAGATTGTCCAACATATCTTACTTGACATGCCTAGTCTTGCTTTCTTTACAACTTATGCGCTTTTGGTCCTGTTCTGGGCTGAGATTTATTACCAGGCAAGTTTAAATTTTGTGGTGCATGTACACACACACTCTCTCTTTTTAAATGTCATTAGATTTTGTTATTTTGATGGTGTGATTATCATTTTGATGTTAAATGTTTTGCAGGCACGAGCTGTATCTACCGATGGTCTTAGACCAAGTTTCTATACAATTAATGCTGTGGTTTATGTTATTCAGGTGAAAAATCTTGCCCATGACTTCACCTGTGGTCGCCGCAGTAGGTTGAAATTCTGTTTTGAGGCCATGGATGTTGCATGCACCTTGTTTCCATTTTCATCTTGTATATATTAGCTTAGTTAGAAACTAGAATTGACTGTCACTCAATACAATCAAGCCATAGTTGTTAGAATTGTACAATTCGCGATTCTAGTCGCAAGATTTGGCAAGTCAGCTATTGGTATAATGTGATGACTTGGAGATGATTTTAATTATATGATAGATGCATGACCTAGCCGCCTCATCGATACAACATACAATAGTGGTTCTAATATCGGCATAGCAATAGTGGTGGAAGTCAAAGTTAATTGGACTATCTAAACATACATAGACAGAGTTGATTTCCTGATTCTTGTAACTGAAAGGTGTAAACTTAATGGCAGTTCCCTTTTACCGCATATTTTGGGATCCGTAAAAGAATTATAGGTTTAGGGGTAAGAGAAGAAGGAATATGTATGCTCATATTCATAGATGTAATATGTTCTAATATCTCAACCTAATACTCATATTTATACTAATGATTAGGTCAAGTACTAGTACTAGTCTGAGTCCACTAACAATAAAACTAACAAACTAATTAAGGAAACAATCAAGAAAGATAATCTAAAGAAATTCTTACTATTCATTAACAGGATTAATTAAAATAATATTAAATATGTGCTTCTGTCTTTTATGATTATTATCCACAAAATGATGTTTAACTATTGAGTCATTGACCTTTATTATTAGTATATCCGTGGCATCCGATCTGTTGTTTGTTATATCTATTCAAAGTTGTAAATTGCTGCTGCTTTCTTGTTTACTAGTTTTGAATTTGTTGATTACTCTTTCTTTTCTTTTTTTTGGTAAACACTTATTTTTCTTTGTTTAATGTGTTTCAGATTGCGCTGTGGTTGATATTATGGTGGAAACCTATCAGAGTTCTGGTCATCCTGTCTAAGATGTTCTTTGCAGGTTTGTCTGTTAGAGACTTAGAGTATCCTTTATATTTGTTTTTTGTTTTTTGTTTTTTTTGGTGGGGGGGGGGGGGGGTTGAGGGGGAGGTTTAACTATCAGATTTAATTGATCATGACTTTAATGAGGTTTTGCTATGCATATATGTAGGGGTGTCTTTGTTTGCAGCCCTTGGCTTTCTTCTCTATGGTGGGAGGTAATTGTCTATTTCAATTTTCAATTGTATTTTATGTAATTTGGATTATGGAATGAAATTAATGCATCCAGGTAACAGAATAGCACTCATGAAATTAGGAATTGTGACTTGTCTGAAGCGGAGAAAAAATAAAAAAATCAACTCATTAGATATAGCAGCCATGTGAGGTATTTCTTCAAATCTTAGTTGCCTTTCTGGACTTAATGGAATTAATGTAATGCAAAGACATGGTCATTGTAAACTGGTTTGACCCATTGGGTCAATCCGCGCAAGCCTCCTAATTTGGCGGGTTGGGTTACATATTCAAACCCACCAAACTGCCCGCTTAAGGGTGGGTTAAAGTAGGTTGGGGCGGGTCAGCCCAACGGATTAACCTTTTTTTATTAAGCTTAATTTGGTAATTTGGGTTAAACATCTCACTCAATCTCCCTCTTTGGCTCTCTTTCTTGATTTCTCAATATAGGCTGGTTGATCTGTCATAAAATAGGATAGGTTGAGATTTTAAATCCACTTTAAAAAGTGAGTTGGGGGAATGGCGAGTTTTATGGCGGGTTGGAGACGGAACGGGGGCATGTCACCCGCATTTCTTTCCCTACTGTAAAGACATATATATATATTGTTGATTGTTTTATGTCTGTATTCAAATTCCTTTCTTTTATGAACTTGAACTGTCATAATTCTAAATAGCAGCTAAAATGTAAGCTCATGAGCTGTTAGTGTGAATCTGCACTTTTCATCCAATGTAAATATTTCATTGTAATTATTTGATCTACTGATTCATGTCTAAAGCGTATGTGTTTGGAATCTATAATAAAAGGATTGTTTTCATTTTTAAATGGTTCCTGTATAAAACTTGTTTGGAACAATATTAGTTTAAAATTTCAATTCATCTATAAATAATTTAGTCTGCTCTTCTATATTTCATGATGTCTAAACACCAATCAATTTTAATATGATTTGTGAACCTTTTCATCACAAGTGAATAATTTTCAATTAAAGTTTAATCGTTCCTTAGGACTTCTTTGGTTGCAGGGAGTGAATTAAGATGGAAAGGGAAAGAGGATAGGAACTTAGAATAAGTAATTCTTGTGTTTCATTGTCAGTTGGGAATGAAAAGCCCTATTCCCAAGGGAATGAGCTAGAACCCTTATTGTAGGAATAAGTATTTTATCATAAAAGTGAAAAGATGCCTATTCCATTTCACCTAAAATTTTATTTATTTATTCTATAAAATCAATTCTAACACTCCAAAATATGAATACAATGGAGTCATTATTACATTCCTATCTACTCCAAAACTAAACATAGGATTGGATACTACTTCCCATTCCATTCCCATTCTCAGTCACATTCCATTCCCATTCTGTCAAAAACCATTCAATCCAATTGAACATGTTCTTTGTGTCTTGATACCTTCTTTCGATATTTTGGGGTGTGATCTAACCTCTCTGGATTTTCTTACTCTAGCTGCCTATTGGCTTTGGGAGGTGGTAGAATATATGATTGTTACCAAGATCTCCAACTAGAGGAAAGAAAAATAAATAAATTAGCAATTCTGCCCTTTGACAGTCTTATTGTGGTTCTGTTTGTGATATGATGTGGTGCTAAGAAGATTAAATTTAATATCAGGATGGTAGTATCTACTTTCTGCAGTAGTTACTAGTCCCTAGTAAGCGGATAAAACTACCATATCTGTGGGCAGAGATAGTTGAATTATCTCACCATTATATATTGCTCTATTTTTGTTTTCTTCTCCTGTGTTTGCTGGGTGCAATTCAAAATGTCATCTAACCCTAAATCATTCAATGAAAATATTTTCATGTGAGAATGATGGTTTACTTATCTTTATTATTATATGTTGGAAGAGGCCTTCCAACCCAAGTGTAAAGGAAATGTAATTTTGTTTGTGCGTGACAATTGTTCTTTGTCCTTTTTTTTGGACAAAATTATTTAAGAGAAAGAGAGGGAGGATAAGGTATCTTCTAAAACTAGAAAAAGAAGGGAACAACACTGAATAATTAGAAAGTAGAAAGTAGTTAAGAATGCAGCAGTGCCGCCTGATAGTAACCCTCATGCAAAACAACAGAGAAGCCAAAAATTAATATTATCCTAAAGCATATTTAACAGCAAGGAAAACCCTTAAAAATAAGCACATTTTGCTCGAAAGCACCAAATAACTGCATAAAAAACACACTACCCAAAAAAATTTTCCTTTCTTTTGACCAAAACCTTTAACAGCTCTGAAGTAGGACACTTTTGCTCATCAATAACCTCAAAATGATTTTTCCAGAAGAAATTAGCTACTTTGCATTGCATAAATAAGTGGCTTATGGTTTTTGAGCCTAAGTTGCACATGGCACATGTTTGGAGAGAGTAATGTGAGGCCTATGATTTTGCAAAATAATTTGTGTGGTACTATGAAGTGATGCACTCCAAACAAAAGATATGAGTTGTATGACCTCAGAAGGGGCTTTAGATTTCCAAATGGATTTGTCGAGGATGAAGCTTTGACTGTTTGGGGAATGAGTAAGAAAATGAAAAGGGGATTTACTAGAAAACACACTAGAAGAGTCTAGGGTTCATACTCTGCTATTACTATCAGTCATGTGCCAACTAAGGCACTATTTATATTCTTAGATTAAATTTTAAACGTCATCTTGTGTACTTGCATTATGTGCATACATCTTTAGTATTCTCTCGTTACCCTATCCATTTTGGTATCTCTTTTATGAGTGTGTTCTATGACAGACTTTTCTTGATGCTGCAACGCTTTCCTGTTGAATCCAAAGGTCGACGTAAGAAGCTGCAAGAGGTATTCAGTTTTACAAGGAGATTTTCCTATATCTATCTGGGTCTTCCCCTCTCTACCACCCTTCCTTTTCCCATTGTTAACCTTTTTTTAATGCAGGTTGGTTACGTGACTACCATATGTTTTTCATGTTTCCTTATCAGATGTGTTATGGTTAGTCCCTTTTTCCTTATAAACCTCAGTGATTCTTGTTGCTTGGTTTTTAAAATAAGTTTGATCAAATCTTATTGTGTTAGATGTGCTTTAATGCTTTTGATCAAGCTGCTGACCTCGATGTCTTGGACCATCCCATTCTAAACTTCATATATTACCTGGTGAGTTTTTTTGAATATCTTATATTGTGGCTTTTTTTGTCGCCATAGTCCATACTCACTACTCTTGCTTATTGTTGTGCTATTCAAGTTATCATTTCTTTATCTAGGTCTATTTTGGGTTCATATTAATCTTGTTTTGAGCTCAGTGTTGAAAGTCTGACATATTTCCTACCTGATCTTTGTCTGACTGCTAAATTCTGTGCATTTTTTTATTAACCTAACTGAATTCAATTTCTCTTTCTAGCATGTTGTTTGAGGTTAGCCTTGATTCTTGGTAAGATTGCTTTTACCTGAGACCTAAGTGGCAAGGGAATTGGTAAATCGGATAGTCAAATCATTGCTGTTTCAAATCCTCCAATTCATATTATTAGGGGATATATCTTGAGCAACTTTTCAACCACAGGTTGAAATTTTTCTAATGAAGAATGGCTTATTGGTGTTCTGATGTCCATTTTTGAAAGGAATTGAATTGTTTTTGTTTGGTAATTATAATTTTAATTTTCCCCATCTGGTCTCAAGGGTACCTTTATCAAAAAGGGTGTTTGTTCTTCTTCTTCTTGATTTCTTAACTACTTGTCCTCTTACCTCTTTCCCATTTTTGCTGCAGTTGGTGGAAATATTGCCTTCTTCTTTGGTCCTTTTCATTTTGAGGAAGTTGCCACCCAAGCGGGGTATCACTCAATATCACCCAATTCGCTGAAAAGATTAACATATGGAGAAAACCTAATCAGAGGGTGTCTTTAGTGGTTCTCTGTTTTCTTGGATGTTTCTCGCTCTCCAATGATAAAATCTAGAGGACAGAGAAGTCAATCTTTTCTATGTTGAGTGACAAAGCTAATATCATGGTTTTAAAGTTCTTCCTTAAGGTTTGTAGATCTTTAAACGTGACATTTTATGGATTGTCAAACGTGTTGGGCTGTGTTACGTTTGATATTTGCATTGTCTCTAGGAAAATGTGGTTGCTTTTTCAGGTTCAGCAATTCAGCATAATGAGCGACCATTTTTGGGAGAACGGGACACTGATATATTGTATAATAGTTTTTAAGTCCTGTAACTACTACATGTTGGTGAAATGTACTGTTTCTTTGATTTTTCTGTCACGTTCCAACTAATTCATTCAATTCTTTTACATGGACTTTCATTTCTTCTGTGAAGCTTAAAATTTCTTTTTGGCAATGGCTTATATTTCTATTTCAGCAGATTATGCTCTGAATATCCCTTAAAATTTAACTGCGACAAAGCGTATTGAAAATTTCCTCCCTCTTGACGAGCCATGTTTGAATACTCTATCAACATGGTTCTTGACTAGTCATGTTTCTGGTTATCCCTAAAAATTTAACAGTAGCAAAGCTTAATGAAGTTTTCCTAGTTGAGATGTTCCCTATTGACAAGCCATGTTTGAATACTCAATATCAACAAGGTTATTAACGGAACACGGAAAACAAAAGCATTCAAAATTCGGAGTTTGCTTGCAAGAACCTTAGAAGATCAAAGAATTCATACCCGGGCATACTTTGCTGGAACTTGATGATGCCATAAATTAAGAGCCTGCTTTTTGTTTGGGGGATCCAGAGGAGCTTGAAGAGGACTCTGTTTTTGTTGTGAATTGGCTACTTCAGCCTATCACTCCATCGTCAACATTATATCAACTATCAGCCTGTCATTATTTGAATGTTTGGTTTGACTTCGTTCACTGAAAGAATGGTAGGTTTGAATTATTGACCAAAACATATGAACATCAAGTAAGGTCAAGAACGTTCCGTTCGTTATGTTGATCGAGAAATGCGTTTAAGCAATTGATTATCATGTGTGCACGTTGGTGTATAATGTATCTATTGGATTGGCGTCTAGATTTGTGATCAGCTGAAGGTGATGAGAACAAAGAACTCTTCTTGGTATTTAGGGATAAATGTGATACATCATACATTTATGGAGAAATCGCCACCTCAAAAAAACATAGTGTGGGTTAAGGAATCACCACCTCAAAAAAATATGGAGAAAATGTTAGCATAAATGTGATCTTGGGATCTCAAAAATTTGTCATGCCTGAACTGATAAAGACTAAGGTTTCCTTTGCAATTCATAACATTTATTATGAATGAAGAGCGGATCTAACTAATTATATTAATCTCAGTCCCTTTTCAATGTGAACTTGAGTTAAGCCTACATTATTATTATTATCTAGTATACAGTGTTACAGATATTCAAGGCTTCAAGCCATAAAAGTATTATTTAGTTAAGCAGACGACATATCTCTCCACATGAATAATGACTTAGTTTTTATTAAGAAAAATATATACAATTAATTATAGTTCATAAAAATTTTAAATAACTCTTATCAGAAAAAGCACATGAAATGAATCTATTGGATTATTGGGCTCATATTGCATCTGCCACTACAATGTTTACGGGGGAACTAGGGTGTTCGCGGTCTGGATTGAATCGGTTTTGGAAGCAAAACTCATCTGATTCAATCCCTTCGGTTTGATCATGTAATCATCCATTCGGTTTAGATTTTTTTTCAAATCCGATCCGATCCAATCCAATTTTTTTCGGTTTGGATTGGATCGGTTTTCGGTTTTTTGAATATCCTAAAATTAGTATCATGATTATTATGCAAATAACATCTTTTGTATATATTGGCTTTGTAAAAAAAATAAATTTGAAATACAAAAATATCAGTAAACAATACTATAATTGATGAGACGTGACTAAGTTTTTTTTTTGGTTTAGTTGATGAGTTAATGGGTCATGAGTTTAGAAATTTTTGGGCTATGATTGGAGAAAGGACAAGTAGGTAGAGAATAATTAATATATTGGATCGGTTTGGATTGGATCGGTTTTCATCAACCCATCCGAAAACCGATCCAATCCAATTAAAATTTGCGGTTTTCTTTCGGTTTCCGATTTTTCGATTTTCGGTTTATTCGGTTATCGATTTTTCGGTTCGGTTTTCGCGGTTTGGATCGGTTGAACACCCCTAGGGGGTACAAACCAAGATTCCTTAAAGTTGTTTTTTGCTTTTTTTTCCTTCACTGAAGATAAAGGTTAATCTCTTTCACATCTCATTTCTTTATGGATTATTTTACTAAATTAATTATTGATAGAAAGGAGGATACTTTACCTGTTATCACCACTATTCTATATGATTTTTTAATTAGTCCACGTAAACACGAGTTTTGGAATTAAAATTTGTGCTTGCTTCTTTATTTACTCTTGTTAATTATCAAGAGAGAATGGGGCATCTACAAATCGGTTCGATATCGAAAGCGACAGTGTAGAAAAAGAAGAGGAAGGAGTCCCTACTGCAAGTTTAAAATGAAGAATTAGATATATACTTAAAAAAATGAAGGATTAGAGGGATTTGTATAGATCTAAAAGTAAAATATAAATATAAAAACTCGTTTTTCTGCAATATCTGATTGTCCATAACTAAATTAGTAATTATGAGTATTAATTTGATAACAAATTCATGCTATTGGGTAGGAAATTTTGATGATTATATTTATTTGATAACAACTAACTAGAAGTAATTAATATGGGAATTTGCGGACAAGAATTCTATACGAATTAGGTGAAGGAAATCCTTAATAAACATTTAGGAAGTGGGGATGGGGATGTACTTTGAGAAGCGAGTAAGGATAAGTTATTTTATCTATTTTTTTTTTTGTTTATTTTTGTATACTACTCTCTAATATCATTAAATCATAATCTCAATAGGAGAGAGAAATGATAAAGATAGTTAAGATTATGATCTAACAGTGTTGGAGAGTGATAGGCAAAAAAAAAAATTGATAGAATAACTTATCCTAAGTAAGTATTATGGATTTAAAGTTGTTTTTAAGTTAGGGAAATATTGCCCTAATGAGTCTTGCTTGTAGGAAAGGCATAACATTCTTATTCCTTTTCAAAAAAATTCTATTTAAGAACAAAAGTTTGCTGCGCATGCATTTATAAATAAATAAAAGTTGAATATTTAAAATAGGAGATCATATCTAGATTTTAGGCCAACTAGGTAAACTGGGAAATTCACCAACAATTTAAATCACTTCTCGTACTTATGTTTCGTTTAACAACACAAATTCAAGGGAAAACCTATTGAAAATAATGTTGTCATTTTTGGTTCAGAAATCCCTGTTGTTTAATCATACGCAAGTACTTTTTTTGTGAATTTTTTTCACACATGTTCAATATTATGGTTGGACGGGTTTTGATTTCAAAATAAAGGTTTTAATGAACTATTAGGGGGGAAAAAGAATATAAAAGTCATCCACATGTACTTGAGAATTCTGTTAAATAAAATTGAAGTTTCTAAATGTAGTACTTAAGTGTTAGGCAAATTGCTAGTTTTATTAATTCTAACTTCATGAATTATATTATACCCTCAAAAAAAAATAATGAGAAAAACAACATTCGAAAAACTAATTAGTCCAAATTGACTTGAACAGTAACAAAATCTTGATCAGCTGCCTAGTTAAACGGTCATTAAAGAAAAAGAAAAAAAAGCTTTTGCTCTAAAAATTCATCTTAAACTAGTTTTGTTTCTTGTGAACTTAAAATTAAAGTCATTAAGAATCCAATTTCCAAATGATATAATGGGTTAAACCAAGAAAAGTCATTTTAGGCATTTATTTATGGGTTTGATGTTTGTCATTTTAAATGACATAAGTTATATTATTTTAAGAGAGAAATAGACACAAAAAATGAAAATCATGAGAAAGAGAAAGTAAATAATTTTTTTAATTTAAATTTTAAATAAAAAAATATATTTTGTGTATATCTCTCTCTTAAAATGACATAATTTTATATCATTTAAAATAACAAACACTTGTCCCTTTATATAATCAACCCCAAGTTGAGAAATCCGAATATTTAATTAAGGTGTATGAAGAACTAAACCAAAGATTATGGGACTGAGATTACAATGTCACTTGCCATGTTGCCTTTACCCATTTGACCAGATCAATTAAGGTATTAGAAAACTGTAGTCTGAATGCGAATATTATTATTAACTTTCTGACGTTACAGGCTTGCACTCTGCATGACACTTATATGCGGAGAACACAGCAGAATGCCCCACTGCTCACATGAAAAGATCCATTCAATCAGATGAAAAACACCGTAAAAGTAAAAATGGATTAACTAATACACGAAAATAAATGGATAATGATTTCCCCAGTTCTACAAAAGATAAGCTTGGGAGGTCTACCAGATCATCATATTCATATCACAAGCAGATGTTCAATCAGTTTCTCAGCTTTTCCATAATTACGTAAGAACAGCACCAATCTTCTTAGCAAAGTCGTCCCCATCTTCATCATCTATGTATTCTTGCTCTTGATTTTCACCCTCATCAACTTGTTCATATTCATACTCCCCCTCATCAACTTGCTCATAATCATAGTCCCCATCTCTCTGATCATCACCTTCGAACTCCTGATACTCCCCGGCTTCATCGTAAATCATTCCATCCTCGGATGATTGACCATGTGTTACATCAGCATTATCAATCTCTCTTCCAACTGCATCAGTGACCTTAAGCTTGGATTCTTCTTCATTAATTAGCAAATGGTTCTTGACATTTTCCTTGGTCTCAAACAATGCTCCATTTTGTTTGTTTATGACAGATGTATGATCTGAGCTATGGGTAATTTCTCTATTCTTATTGTCAGATGATTTACCACTCTCGGAGGCTGCACCAGCTCCAACTCCTCTCTTCTCCTTCAGAATTTCACTCAGAGGTTTTGGACCTTCGAAAAGAAAATCATCTTCAGATTGTTGATGATCCCTTAAACTCTTTCTCTTTCCCAGAGATTGTTGCTCCTTATTCTCAGTGTTACTCCCAGTTTTAAGTTCAGCAAGACTTTTTGGCCCAGCAAAATCACTTCTTCCTCCCACTAGTTCTCGCCCCATGGATCGATCCCTGAAGTTTCTCCTCTCATCATCCTGCGACCTTCCTCTTACTCTATCTTGGATCCTTCCCTGGTGAGGGGCCAGCAACCTTCCAGATGACAATCTGCTCCTAATTCTTCCTTTGTCTGACTCCCTCTCAAGATGATCATCACCACCATTTGCCGGAAGTTTTATTCTGCCTCGGAAGCGATTATTGAGGGAGCTATCATTCATAGGTAACGGGGGTGAATCCTTTCGAGAGAAGAACCGTTGACTTTGTTCCTCACCATGGCTTTCAAGGGCATAATCATGAGTGACAACAGATTTCAAACCATTGACCTTCTTGCGCTTGGATAAACGATGTCGCAGATCTGAGACCTCAACATTGTCAGGGCTGTCAGACCTGCGGTGAGTCCTTCTTTCTAAATGGGCCGGCGCCTTTCTATGCTGCTCCCAAGCATATGGCTCTTGCATATGATCATACGAGTCATAACCTTGGGGTACACGAAATCTTTCTCGATCAATATCAGCAGCTAAACTATAATCAGCAGAGTGTCCTAAATCATATTCATTCAGAGAGTCTAAGGTCCTTTCATCTTGACCTCTTGCTTTACCAAATTCATCTTCCCCGTGGTAGTAATCAGAATTCCTAAGTTCATCAGCTACAAGAACATCAAACCCAGGAGAGGATTCTCTGAGAAACTCATCACTGTCTTTCCCACTATGGAAACTATGATCATCTGGCACACGGGCTTGATGCAGACGATTAGACCGGGCTACAGTGGGCCCATTGGTGACTGGTGGAGAGCTTGTTATCTTAAATCTTGAAGCCTCAATATCAAATCCCGCAGGTGGTAGTGGCACATGCTTCTCCAATTCAAACATATTTCTTTGTGGAGCAGTTTCAACTTTTTGGGAAGATTTAGTTTCAGGACCTCCAACTGAACTTGCAACATTTCCCTGGGAAGTTTTCCTTTCCTGTGTATGCCTCTCAATGCTGCCAAAAGGCTTCTTAAAAGGACTATTTAAGAGGACTTGAGTAGTTACTTTATTACCAGTGTTAGGACTTGGTCCATGCAAGAAGGCACATCTGTCACCTTTTAAGCAAAGCCCCTTTTGGAAGAAAATGCAGGGGACAGCTTGTTTACTAGAATTATAAGGTGCATGTGTTGGTGTTGCAGACATTGTTGCAATCTGTGACGGGGGTACAGATGGTCCACCAGGGGTGGTTGCCTGTGTTCCTATCAAGCCATCAAGAGGCTGCATGTGAAAACAAAACACAGTTAGCAAAAGCCATACAAAGAAATCAAAAGCTTAGAGCAAATGGAGGAAAATAGTTCATAAATTGACAATTTAAGTATAAAAACTTGGTGATCATGAAGACACTCACCGGATGACGGAATGAACATTTGGGATTCAAGCAATTACCATTCAACCAATACCAGCAATCCCGAGGATTTACCCGAGCGTACTCACTATGGCGGTACTCGCATTCATTTCCCTGTTCCAATAAAGAAAACAAATCAGAATAAGTCTCGAGTTCAAATGTCACACCAGCTTTAGTGACTAGATAACCTGACATGCTTGATAACTTATACTTGTTCTTTTAATATGCAAAAAGCATAAACAAATCATTGCTACATAATACAGTAAAGTACTTAATTTGCATAAGCACAATAAACAAGGAAGCATTTGATAGAATAATTATACAAACAAGTAGTTATTTTAAGTAAAATGTTGAAATATATTTAATGATAACAACTTCAAAGATTACTCAGAGGACATAGCCAGCAACACCAGTGAACAGCGGATCTTGCAAACACATCATGACTAACATATACTCTTGCCACTACAGTGATTATTTTAAAGAAAGTTCATTCACTACACTAATTAATGCTTGCTTTCAGATGCAATCAGAACATATTCATAAAACTCTAAATTAAAAAAAAAAAAAAAAAAAAAAACTTGATTGACCTAACCTCACAATTTTGTAGCTGGATCCATACGATTGATCAGGTTTAAAACAAACAAGAAAAGAAAGAAAGAGAAGATTATCCTCCCACCAATCTCAATAGGGTTCAAGAACCCCGTTTCTCTCATTCAACTTGTCAAATAAAACGAAAGAGACAGAAAAATAACGCCAAGAGAGATCCGATTAATAACACAATGATCAATGAGAATTTCCCAAAACTCGATACCGAGAGAAGCAAGCCACACAAAAAACAAAAACAAAAAAATGTTTCACAGTCTATCAACAAAATTCTTCAAAAAAATCGATAAATATAAGATTTTAGGGAATTTCCATACAAGTAACCCCTTCCGTCTTTTCCAAAATTCGATTTTTATTATTGAAATATAAATAATTACCCAACCTATTTCCCCGAAGAACACGAATCTGAAACCCTAATGATACAATTCCTAACAGACCAAAAAATTGGGGTTTTTTTTTAAAAAAAAATGGAAAATAGAAAAAGGCACCTTTTTGCATGTCAAAGGAGACGCAAGAAAGTAGACGCAATCCGTGTTTCTCTTCAAGGCCTCATCTTGGGCAGAGGGTGTAGGTTGCTGAGTCTGAACCTGAACCTGAAGTTGGGGCTGTTGGGCTACCATGGCGGTTGTTGAGGTTGAAGAGCCAACAGAGATCGTGTGAAGAATAAAGAGATCGAATCGAATTGAAGAAGATGGATCCAAATCTCAATCTCAGAAGAGAGAGAGCCGCCACAGAAACTGGGTTTGGAGTATAGAAAGAGAAAGAGAGAGAACGAGAGAGCTTGAGAGAGTATGTGAATATTATGATGGGCTTCAAGGTAAGGTAAGGGTAAGCCTGGTCTGTGTTTTATTTATTTATTTAGAACATGTTTGTAGAAATTGAGATTTATATTGTGTGTTTTAATGATTCGATTTTTTTTATTTTGGAGATATTAACGATGGAAAAAGTGTTTTTCTTTTTAAATGACACAATTTATGTCATTTTACTCTCACAAAAATGTGGAATTCACATCTTTATTTTTTTTTTGTCCACTCTCTCTCCTCTCTTATTTATCTCTTTCTCTCATTTAAAATTACATAACTTTACCTCCTTTAAAATGATACACACATTTTCATTAATGATTCGATTTCGATGTTCGTAAACAAAATTATAATGGGACACTTGCCATCTTTGTTTGGATATTTACTTAAAAATTCACCAAAAAAAAGCAACAAAAAAAAAACTTATTTTTAAAAAAACAAAAATTTAACTTTAAAAAAAAAGCAAAAGTTATAAGTCAAATATTTTTTTTCAAAAATTAATTAATTTTTAAAAAATCTAAATAACTTTAGGGGATGTAATGGATTCAGATTTTAATATATATTTTTTGGACAAAAAAATCTATAGATATTAAATTAGGATTTTAAATAATTGTAAAAAAGTAATGTGGTATTTAATTAGGATCTTAAAAGATTGTTTGAGTTAATTCAAATTATGTGGTATTCAACTAGGATTTTAAACAAAGAGGAAAATAATCTTGTGATATTAAAAAATATGATGATCTTAATACATTTTCTATTAGTGCGAATTTTGTGAGACTTTTTAGTGAGAAGTATAAATAGCATGTCTCTCTCACAATCTCACCTTGGAATTTTTTGAGATTTCTCCATTGGAGTGTCTTATTCTTCCTTTGATAGGTCGACTCGACATGAGATCTTTGTCAAAGCTCAAAAACCAAAAAAAATTAGCGATTTTTATCACAAAATAATCCAGAAACAATAACCCAACAAAATTATAATCCAATCCATCCCAAAAAAAAAAGGCAAAAATCTGAGAGCTTTTGGAATTTTAAAAATTTAAGCTATGGGTCGCAATTTTTCTTGGCACAAAATGTATGATTTTTATATTAAAAATAATATAAAATATTGGGAAAACAACAAGGGAACAAAAATCCCCCAAACCAATTTCGTTTTACGTAAATGAAACAAGATCAATTTAAAGAAAGATTGAAACTTTCATAATATGAATCATATGTTTCGTAACAATACATTCATGAATGAAATTCCTTCGTTATAGGAAACAATTTTTGTGTCAATAAATATTAGCATATTATTTTCCTTATTATTTTTGTTGTTTGTGATTGTAACTAACTTGCTGCTGAGGTGTACATTTTATTCTTGAGCTGATTCTGTTTTGCGCCTTGGGTGAGCACGTGGTCACACCAATTTCTGTTACGTCTTCTTTTGCTATGGCTCATATATAGGTGGCCTCTTGTATTTTCTTTTCTGACTTGAATCAATAAAATGAGTATTCTGTTTCCAGCTAGATTTTTCTCTAATATGGTATCAGTAGTATTCCTGTTTTGATGGCTCGCGGCAATAATTGCCCGCCTCAAGTTGATGCATCCTCTGCGAATTCAGGTTAATCCATCTCCATGGATGATTCCTCTAGTTCATATTACTTACATAACAGTGACCATCCAGGTCTTCTTTTGGTTTCGACACCACTTTCAGGTTCTAACTTCAATTCATGGCATCGTGCCATACTGCTTGCCTTGACGGCCAAAAATAAATTGGTCTTTATTGACGGTACACTTCTCCGTCCTGCCTCCACTGAGCTTTTATTCTCCTCCTGGAATCGTTGTAATTCCATGGTTATCTCTTGGTTGCTGAATTCGGTCACCAAGGAGATTGCTGATAGCCTCCTCTATTTCACGAACGCGTATGAAGCTTGGGCAAATCTGAAGACCAGGTTTTCTCAAGCGAATGGTCCTCGCATCTTCCAACTTAAGCAGCAGATTTCATCCCTGTGTCAAGGTTCTATGGATGTCAATGGTTATTACACCAAACTCAAATGGCTTTGGGATGAATTGCTCGATTATGCTCCCCTGCCTTCTTGCACATGTGGAGCTCTTCGACACATTCATTCTCATTGTGAGCAGGATCACGTTTTACAGTTTTTAATTGGACTGAATGACTCATACTCCTGATGATCGATCCCATTCCACCGCTTGCTAAGGTCTTCTCCATGATTCTTCAAGAGGAACGTCAACGCCAATTGTCACTCTCCTTGCCATCGCCTGCTGTTCCGGACTCGCCACTGCCTTGTTCTGTACAAGGTTCTTCTCCGGTTGTTTCTTCGCCACCGCCTACGGTGGCTGCCATCCAACGTCGTTGTCCGCTTTGTACTTATTGCCATATTTCAGGCCATACTCGTGAAAAGTGTTTCAAGTTAAATGGCTATCCCCCTGGCTACACACCCCGGCACAACAAGTCCAGCCTATTTCCTAAGCTAGCCCCACCCACGGCCCAGGCCCATTCCATCGTTTCAGGCTCTCCTTACCATTCCTCTTTCCCCAAACCGATCTCTCCTTCGAACCCTAATCCTCCTCCCTCAGATTCCCCCTTGCCTTCACCCATCCCAATACAATCATCTGATTTCGCTTCTCCAACAGGGTTCTACATCTTCTACTCCATTGTTGTCTCTTCCGTCTACCACTTCTTCTGTCACCGATTCTCTCCCTTCAGTGGCTAGTCTCAATGGTAAGCTTCATCTCTCTTTCCCACCTTCTTCTTGGGTTTTAGACACCGGTGCTACACATCATGTATGTGTCAAACATGATCTCTTATTTTCCTGTTCCTCGTCTCCTTCTTCTGTCTCGTTTCCTAATGGTTCCTCAGTCGTTGTTTCTTCTGTGGGATCTGTGAAAATTTTTGACTCTCTCACACTTTCTAACGTTTTATACGTTCCATCTTTCTTTTTAATCTCCTGTCCATTAGTGCATTGACACGCGCTTCTTCGATTTAGCTAATTTTTCTTCTTCTCTTTGTGTTCTTCAGGATCATGCTTCGGGAAGAATGATTGGGATTGCTAAACACCTCGGAGACCTTTATATTTTGGACACCACCAATCTTTTTCCCACTGATTGTGTTCCCCATCCCCTCTGTTTTTCCATTTCTGTTAAAAATAATATTGTCTGGCATTCGAGATTGGGTCACCTTTCTCCTTCTGTTTTGAATTCAATGAAAAGTACTTTAGGTTTTTCTGATTACTTACAAGCTGATCACCATTGTTTTGTTAGTACTTTGGCGAAACAAAAGCGCCTTCCATTTATTTTGGATCCCAAGCTTGCTGCTTCCCCCTTTGATCTTGTCCATTGTGACATTTGGGGCCTCTTCAACACTATCTCTGTTGAAGGTTCTCGATACTTCCTTACCTAGGTTGATGATTCAACCAGGTTTACTTGGACTTATTTCCTGAGTAATAAATCTGATTTTGCTGTTGTTTTTCCATCTTTTTACAATATAATTTTTACTCAGTATAAGGTTCCCATAGGTCAATTCGCTATGATAATGCTTCTGAGTTTAATCTCATTTCTTTCTTTTCCTCTAAAGGTATTCTGATTTTTCACTCGTGTGTCGATTGTCCCCAGCAGAACTCTATGGTAGAACAAAAACACCAACACCTACTTAACGTAGCTCGTGCCCTCCATTTCCAATCCAAAGTTCCCCTCCAGTATTGGCAAGACTGTGTCTCTACTGTTGTTCACCTCATTAATCGAACAACATCTCCTCTGCTTGGCTTGTAAACCCCCTTTGAGCTACTTTGCCACAAATCGCCCTCCTATACACATCTCCGTACCTTTGGTTGCTTGTGTTACAGTTCAACCCTTCCCAAAACTCGCCATAAGTTCTCTCCCCGTGCCTTGCCATCTGTTTTTCTTGGATATCCTGCGGGTTACAAGGGGTATAAGCTTTTGGATTTAACATCCAATAGAACTTTTGTTAGCCGTGATGTTGTTTTCTTTGAAAATATTTTTCCATTTGCTATGACTCCCACATCTTCTCCATTCTCCACTGAATTTTCTCACCTACCACCTGCCTTTGACAATTCCAACCCTATACCCATTTCCCCATCTCCTGCTGTCTCCAGACCCACCCGAGTTAGGCATCCTCCAGCTCATCTATCTGACTTTGTTTGTTCTTCTTCTACTCATCATCCTTTATCCAATTTTCTTTCTTATAACCGTTTATCCCCCTTACACACTGCCTTTGTCAATTCCATATCTTCTCACTTTGAGCCTACTACCTTTTCCCAGGCTTCCCAATTACTCGAATGGCAGCATGCCATGGCTGCTGAGATCTCCGCTCTTGAAACCAATTCTACTTGGTCTGTTGTTTCTCTTCCTCTAGGGAAGAAGGCAGTTGATTGCCGTTGGATTTATAAGGTCAAATACCATTCGGATGGCTCTCTTGAGCGTTATAAGGCTCGTTTGGTTGCTCAAGGTTTCAGCCAACAAGAAGGCATTGATTTTTTGGAAACTTTTTCACCAGTGGCTAAAATCACAACCGTCTGTGCTCTTCTTGCTTTGGCTGCTGTGCATAATTGGTCCCTTACCCGACTAGACGTCAACAATGCTTTCCTCCATGGGGATTTATTTGAAGAGGTCTATATGACTTTGCCTCTTGGGTATTCTCCTCCACTTTCTGTTTTGCCTCCGAATGCAGTTTGCAAGTTACATAAATCTTTGTATGGCCTTCGTGAAGCCTCAAGGCAATGGTTTGCGAAATTTTCTGCTACTCTTTTGAATCTGGGTTTTTCTCAATCCCATTCTGATTACTCCTTATTTGTTCGTTCCACATCTACTGCTTTTATTGCAATTTTAGTTTATGTGGATGACATCATCATTGCCTCTAATAATTCTTTGGAAGTGCAGCACCTTGCTGCTCTTTTACACAGCAAGTTTAAATTGAAGAACCTTGGTGATTTAAAATATTTTTTGGGCCTTGAAGTAGCACACAGCAGTAGAGGTATTTCTCTATGCCAACGACAGTATGCTTTACAGATTCTTAATGATTCTGGTCATATGGGATGTAAACCGCGTTCCACTCCTCTTAAGGTTGGCCTCAAACTTTCTTCTGATTCTGGTGATTTACTACCTGACCCGACAGTTTACAAGCGTCTTATTGGTCGCCTTATTTACCTCACTATCACTCGGCCAGATCTCTCTTATGCTGTTAATCTTCTTAGTCAGTTTATGACTGCTCCTCGTGCACCTCATCTTCAGGCTGTTTACCATCTACTGGGGTATGTCAAAAGCACGGTGGGCCAAGGTTTGTTTTATTCCAGTTCTGCTTCTCTTCAATTGAATGCTTTCTGTGATGCTGACTGGGTTGCATGTCCGGATAGTCGTCGTTCCATTTCTGGTTTTTGTGTCTTCCTTGGTGATTCCCTCATATCATGGAAATCCAAGAAGCAACAAACTGTATCACGATCATCCACTTGGGCCGAATATCGCTCAATGGCTCATGTTACATGTGAACTGCTGTGGCTCTTTTCTCTATTTAAAGATCTCTGTTTTTTTCATCATGGCCCTGCTCATCTTTTTTGTGACAATCATTCAGCATTACACTTGGCAGCCAATCCTGTGTTCCATGAACGCACCAAGTATATTGAGATTGACTGCCACCTTGTGCGTGAACATATTCAGAAAGGGCATCTCAAGACTTTTCCCGTCCCTTCTTCTAAGCAACTCGCTAACATTTTTACCAAAGCATTACTGCCCTCTCGCTTCTCTGTTTTGTTATCCAAGATGGGCATCTTAAATATATACTCTCCATCTTGAGGGGGCCTATTAGCATATTATTTTCCTTATTATTTTTGTTGTTTGTGATTGTAACTAACTTGCTGCTGAGGTGTACATTTTATTCTTGAGTTGATTCTGTTTTGCACCTTGGGTGAGCACGTGGTCACACCAATTTCTGTTACGTCTTCTTTTGCTATGGCTCATATATAGGTGGCCTCTTGTATTTTCTTTTCTGACTTGAATCAATAAAATGAGTATTCTGTTTCCAGCTAGATTTTTCTCTAATAATAAATCGATAAAAACTTGTTTTTCAAAAGCTCCAATGCAATTTAAGGTTTCAATGTATCAATTGAAAATAATTTGAGAAAATTTCTAAACTTTCATATAATAAAACCCAAAAATTCAGATTCCAAATTTTCTTAGAATACTCAATGGAAACATGTATATGATGTATGGTTAGAAAACTCTCACCACGTAGAATAAAAACCCCAATATTTCCAAGATCAATCGCAAAAAATTCCAAAAGAAATTTTACCATGAACTTTACGTTTTATATGCCAATTTCGAAATATTTTAATAAATAAAGAAATTGCGGGTCGTATAATCATACATACAATGGCGGACGCACATTGCTGCTAGAATTTTTTTTTTCAAAGGGGTGAGTGATTTAAGTCAAGTAAAAAAAAAAGATTTTGGAAGATTGAAAAGAAAAAAATAAACATAGGCGCAACCATGGTAGTTAAAATCGGGATCTTACCTAAAATCGGAAGGAGGATAAAAAATCGTAAAACGTAAAATCCTAACGTAAAAGAAATCATAAAATCGTAAAAGTGTTTGGAATTTTGATGAAATCGTTTTGATTAAAAAAAAATCGTAAAATCACAAATTTAAATTGGGATTTTAACTAACATCGGTCCAACCCAACCAACCCCTATAATTAAAAGCTTAAAACTTAAACTCTATCACATTGCTTTGTCTCTTCATTTTTTTTTGAAACATAAATCTTATTAGCTCCAAACCTTAATAGACATCAATGATTCTTGAAATTCAATCTTCATCAAGTGGAGGAGAATCGCACAGGGATTTTCACGCTTTTTTGTGAAGCAAAAGTGGCCAACTTTGGATCAAATAGACATTGACAGAGGTGGAGATCAATTAAACCCTTCAATTATACTATATTGTACAAATGTCTTTTTGTGGTGTTTATTTATTTTTTAATTATCATTATCGATTATTTCTTTAAAACTTTGGTTGATTCTCCAAAGCTTTACTTTTGAAGTGGAAGCAAAAATTGGATCATGATGTTGAAATTGAGAGCACAAAAAATAGTGGGTTCGTAGTAATTCGACAAGTATTAATAAAAGGTAACTTTCTATAATTTTTTTTGTTATAACTGTTTTAAT